CCAATCTTGACATCACTGATTAGCTCACTTGTGTTGGTGACCAACAGGTCCAGTATCGCATCCCCTCTGGTAGGGCTGCCTATTACCTGGCTTAAGAAGTTATCCTCAATGCATTCCAGGAGTCTCCTGGATTGCCTATAGCTCGCCACACTACTTTTCCAGCAGATGTCAGGGTGGTTGACGTTGCCCAGCAGGATGACAGCCTGCGAGTGTGATGCCTCCTGTAGCTGGAGTAAGACAACTTCGCCAATAGGCTCCCCTTGGTCAGGTGGCCTGTAGTAGACACCAACCACAAGGTTCCCTTTGTTGCCTCGGTCTCTGATTCTCACCCATAAGCTTTCAACCTGCTCGTGGTTATTCTTCAGAGACAGCTCTTCACGCTCTATCCATTTCTTGATGCAGAGGGCAACGCCTCTGCCCCTCCTGTTCCTTCTGAACAGCCTGTAGCCATCGACAGCCACACTCCAGTCATGGGATTTGTCCCACCAAGTTTCAGCAATGGCAACTAGGTCATAGCTTCCTAGCAGCACTGTGGCTTCCAACTCCTGTTTGTTGCCCATGCCAAGTGCACTGCTGTAGAGGCACTTCAGCTGGGCTGTCGGCTGTGTCACCTTCTTAGAGGAGCACACCTTAATTCCTTTGAGGTATTTCACTGGTGTTTCCCTGTTGGCTCCTGTTACCTCAGGAGCCCTTGGCTCACCTCCATAAGACTTCAGGTGTGCTTCAGCGTAGCCAGCACATGTCAGAGCAACAGGCTGAGGGTCCTCCCTAGCACCCCATCCCTCTAACTTTGGCGTGTCATCCCACAGCTTGTCATGGGCAAGCCTGATATTATCCCCCTCCCCCTTCAAGTCTAGTTTAAAGCTCTGACAGTGAGCCCTACTAGCTCGTGAACAAAGATCCTCTTCCCCCTTTGAGAAAGGTGAATCCCATCTGACACCAGCAAGCCTGGTGCCGTGTAGGCCATCCCATTATCGAAAAACCCAAAATTGTGGCAGTGACACCAGACATGGAGCTGTGTATTAATAGACTGGGCTCATCTGTTTCATCCAATGTTGCTGCCCACAACTGGAAGGAGAGAGGAAAAAAAAAAAATACCTGTGCTCCAGATTCCCTTACCAACTGTCCCAAGGCCCTGAAGTCTCTTTTGATCGCCCTTGGGCTACATGTTGCAGCTTCATCACCACCCACATCGAAGAGCAGTAATGGATAATAGTCCGAGGACTGTACCAGGCTAGGACATTTCCTAGTGATGTCCTTAACCTGGGCCTCACAGAGGCAGCAAACTTCCCTAAGAGGAGAGTGTGTCCAGCATATTGGACCCTCTCTTCCCCTCAGAAGAGGGTTGCCTACAACTATAACCCATCTTTTCTTCCTCATCGAGGTGGTCATGATACAGGAGGTAAGCGTTTCTGACCTTGGCAACACCTCTGGTGTAGATGGACTGTCACCCATATGATCCATTGACTGGCCTTCCACATCCAGAGCCTCATACCTATTGTACAGAGGCACCTGGGAAGGCGAGGTGGGCAAGGAGGGGGGTCCACCTGCCACCCTGAGCGTGGACTTTCTTCCATTCACTCTTTTCCTTTAAGCTACTGCCTTCAGTCTAGCAGGGGCAGGACCCTTGATCTTGGTTTTTTTCTGGTAGCTATTCCTGTTTCTGTCTCAGGGAAGGTAGCACATGGTTCCACCAGTCTCCCTCTTTCTCAGACTCCTTGATGCTCCTTAACCTTTCTACTTCCTCTTGTAGCTCTGCCACCAGGCTGAGCAGATCATCTACCTGGTCACACCTCACACAGCTGTTCTCCCTACGGCCATCCATCACCAGTGAAAGGCTCTGGCACTCTCTACAGCCCGAAACCTGGACAGCTGCATGTTTTCATGGGCGCTCTGCCTGGGTTGCCACATCCATTCTGGCAAGCGCAGAGAACACAGCTTTCCACCAGGTGGATACCACAGCTAAGCTCCTTCTGAGAGGGTGATGACCACCAACTGAACTCACCTCCTGAGCTCGCAGGGTGACTACGCCCTTCCTGCACGCCCTGCCACACAAAATGCCGCGCCATGCCCCAGATGACACGCCACACTGCCTGCTCTCCTGGCAGCACTCCTGGTGGCCAGCGCTTCCCAGGCTGCTTTTTATAGGCGACGGAGTGGTCACAGTTGCTCTGGCAACACCCAGGCCTCATCAGCATCTCCTGCAAGAGCTGCCAGCTCCTGGTGGGTCTCTCCACTGCCCTGGCGTTTCCCTGCCTTAGGAAAACCCACTGCGCACCAAGATCTGCCATTCCACTGCGGATCAGGACTGCTCCAGAGCAGCTCCCATTGGCAACTGATGGAGCACAGTCACGCGCTACTTTTCCCATGAAGTATCAAAAGCTTTTCTCTATATAACTGTAGGTCAAAAATGCTACAATGCTGTTTACAGGGATTTTGGCACTAATATGTTTGCATGAGTGTAAGAATACCACAGGCAAAATTATTATCAAAGTTTCTAATGCCTTGAAGAAAAAGTTGGAAATACTCCCTACCTAATTGTGAGCTCCGGAGGCAGTTCCTTCTCTTCTTCCCATATAAGCATATCTACAATGTACTTTATCACAGAGGGAAACACCCTCCTAGAGTGCTCCATAATTTCTTCATTCAACTGACACTCAGAATTCTGTAAAACAGGAAATAACATTAGTATGGAAAAGAAATTTTTAAAAAGTGAAAAAAGGGTTGGTAGAATACATTATTACTGTATTTGTTTCAGGAAATTAGCCTTTTCGTTATTTTCAAGCAAATTAATCTCACCTAACTTCTTCTCTTCAGAATTATTTCATCCCAAGGGCTCTCAGTAGTATTCCAACAGTTTCGTCTGCCTTTTTTTATGCATCCAGTTTTTATCTAGGAATAGACTACGAAAGGCCTCACCAAATGTGTTGGGAAACTTCAATTTTTTTAAACTTAAGTTTAAAACTTAAGTTTAAACTTAAGTTTAAAAAAGCTGGTTAACAGCTTTCTGTACACCTGAAGATATTAGAAGTTTGCAGTCCAGACCAAAATTCTTCCCCTGCATTGCTTGCTCTTCTGTGTGGGTATTCTATCAAACATTTATGATACTCCTTGAAGGAAAGGAAACCTAACTCTGTTCTTTTCAGATATCCCATCCCAGGTCTAGAAATCATTCAAAATATCCCTATGAACTGACATATTTCCCATCCACCCAGATAACGCTCATTAAGTGAACTGTCTACATCATGTAACATTATTAATCCTTTCCATAAGCATTTAAGCAGGAGAGAAATCAAGGTTATAAGCAAAGAAAATCATTACCAAATCTGCACTTAAGAATGAAGCAATCAATATTCAGGTACAAGACATAGACACACTGCAATAACATTGTGTGAAAAGAGGCCTTTAACCCAAAGGCCCTGATGACCTTTTCCACACACCACCTTCCTTTCAGAATATGCATATATAAATGGTATATAATGTTACTAATGTTAAACACAGCCAAATCCAGTAATTTCACATACAAATATGACACAGAAACAGAGGCTGATATTTTCTAGAGTATTTACACAGTTTCCCATAATTTTAGGATCACCCAAACTGCCTACAAAATCTGAGTATGCATGTGTTTGCCAGAGTAAGAAAAGATGAGAAACAAAAATGCTTTCCAAGAATAAAAGCTTTTCACACGTGACTTTTAATCCCAAAGTACTAAGGACACTCACCTCTGCAATATACAATCTGACATATGTTAAATATAAAAGAACAGAAAGAGCGATGTGTTTAATATAGCTAAGAATCATGTTTTTGAAAAATTCTTAAATCAACTATGGTCACATAGAATCATGAATCATTAAGGTTGGAAAAATGAAGCAGATTGCTTTAAAAAACAAACAAGTAAAATCATGTTTTGTCCATATGACTGAAAAGCTAAAAATGTAGTGGAAGAGAAGCAAAAATGCGTTAACATAACCAATTGCTTCCAAAGCTCTGAACAACAATTTTCTGACCTGATAAGCATTAGAAGAATAATTTAGAGTCAAACATACAATCTAAAATGTCTGCCAATGAAATCATGGTCTATAAATATCACTGTGTGTACATACTTAATTTTGGATAAGCTCCTGGTAGGTCTTGGTAATTAAGAGGGTAAATGTCTGGGGTAATTATTTTTTTCCCAGACTAGCAGAGCTATCATCACCTTAAAGTTTGGAGCAGAATGAAAAAGCTATAGTGCTAAGAATAATCTAATCGAACTGAGTTGTAAATATACTACGTTTTTTTCCAGCATTTCTTAAGAGTTTGGCTTTTTAAGCATTAACGTATGTTAAGCAAAAGTGATAGAGCTGGAGGAAAACACAGAGCTGTGCATAGAGATACTGCAAACAAGAACCTTGTAGTAAGACATGCTGCTCTCCTTTGGTCTGTAGAAGAAATCAAAGGAAATCACATCAAAGGATTTATAAACTATTAAAAGTGGGGATTGCACTCATACAAATTGTGAAAAGTTAAATGATGCAATGCCACCTCCAATGCTATCCACATTAATAGAAGTCACAGTAAAATGAAATTAAGATACATCTAATGTAAATTGAAAGGGTAAAAATAAAATTGCCTCAGAACTATGCCCAAAAAGGTGTAATTATTTAAGCTTCAGGTAAAGCTTCAAAAAACAAAATTGTGGAAGAAAGAACAAAGTATATTCGGATATCAAAGTTTAAAAATAACTAACAAGCAATTTTTTTTTTTTTTAAACAAATGTGCCTGGGAAGTATTTTTACCTTACCGCAGACATGAATTCTTAAAGTTATCTGTTTTTAAGGATACATTAAAGCAAAAAAGTTTTTATATTTCTGGCATAGTGAAGACATTAATTTGGAATCAATAGGGAACAGATGACTCCTAAAAGCCTGGAGCGGTGATTCTAAAATGCAGGATTGCTTTTCTCATATTACATACATACCAACAAGTTTTGTAAATATCTCCTCATTGTAAAACTATTTTTGTTTTAAACTAAGGTTTAATTAGGACTTTTGTAAGGATACTGCATTTTACCAATGCTCACCTCATTGTCTCAGAAACACTAAAAACTCTGGTGCGTAGCTTTGATGTTGTAAATTGAAACCTGGCCTCTACTAAGGGCACATTTTTAAAAGGAGGTCATTCTGTAGATGAAACTCTAAACTTAATCTACCTTTTAAAAATAGCAGCCAGTTCTCAAGCATGTTTTTACCACATTCTGCATAGCAGACAAACACACTGCAAATACATCTCTCTTCTTGTTTGCTCCTACCTGATCAGAGTAAGTTTATAAACACCCTAGCATGATATATCCTCTGCACTTAGAGTAATTAAAGGAATACGGGTCAGGATCGTCCAGAAAAGAGTGCTTTTTGTTTGACAAGCATGTGATAAACTTCTATACTATCAGAAAACATGCTGGAAAAGAAATATGCAAGATGTCTGTTCCAAATGTGCTTTGCAACTCATTTCTTTAAATAAGCACTATATGCTAAGAAAATTCCTACATTATGAATGTCCTTGATTCTCAAAACAGAGAACAAACTATGAGGTAATCCAAACATCCACGAGCCTATTCATCATAAAATATCCCTGACGGACAAATCTTTTATTAAAAAAGGAAGATGGGCGTGCAATGCCATCTATCAAATTGTTACATATAGTATGTATTAATATATCAATGCATTTCATTATTGTAGTGGTTGTACTTCTGCCCTTTTACTAGAGAGTCTACATATACTGACTGCATAACAACTACATATATTGACAATAAAGAACTATTATAAGTAACTTTCTACTGCTTCAAATTGTCTAATTATATGTTTTCTATCATTCACAACTCTCAGGTAGCACTCACTGTAGGAGTATGTTCCAGTTTATTTGACAGCAGTTGTAACACAGCTTTGGACTTGCACAACTCCAAGACAGAAGTGACGATCAAACAAATTCACTGCAAGCCAACAAAAGACCTTATTGGAGATTGGAAGAGAAATATTACTCAAAGAAGCATGGGAGGTTCCCTGTTTCCTTATCATCACAGGTATGACTACAGTTCTCAATAAAGTTTAAAACCAAGAGATACTGTGTTAGCTGCTGTCATTATTGATATGATCTATCCTTTAACTTTATCTCCATTGGATACAAATGGCCTGAAGAATATTCTGAGCAGCTTATCTTCATCCAAACAGAATTAAAATGCTGCAGACTCTGAACGCATGCAGTTTCCTCTCAAGCTTTGTTTGAATATGGTTTTGAAAAAAAGCCCACAAAATTTGGACAGAGTGATTTTAACAAGAGTGAAACAGCCTTTTGGTAAAATTGATAAAGGTTTTGGTGTTTTTCCTAACAGTTTTTTTATTATTTTATTGTTATGAAAAAGCTGTTCTAAAGGAAAGGGAGGTAAAAAGCAGAATATGCTGTCAGATGCAAATACCAGATCTGTAAGATCAAAATCTATACCTTGCAGAGAAACAGGTTCCCCAGCAGGAAGTAAACATTTCGTAAACCATTTTAGGGACTGTCGTCAGAGTCATTGGAACAAAAAAAAAATACTATTATTCTCAAAAGTAAAGTGCTGAACCAACTGTTAGAAGATCTCATACAGAGACCTAAATTTTAAAGCTGGGAGATACAATCTATTTTGTTTAGAATCTCTTTGCTCAAGTTCTTAATGTGTCTCACAGGTCCACATTCATCCAGGTATGTGTGATTTTTTGTGAGCCATCACAGGTGAAATCCATAATTTATGGTAGCTACTGTCTGTAAGACAAACTGGACAAACTGATCACTTGAGGCATAAGTAATATCACTTATCTAGGAGCAATGGAGATGCTTTGGCTGGAAACACTTAATTTTGAAGTGAAAGAACACTTAATTCTCAACTGAGACCTGAACATTTTGTCTTAAGACCATTGCTAAATTCTCTTCGTGGTATGACAAAGACCTCTCAGCAATCAGCTAGAAATCTGATACTGAGCATCTTGTAACATAAATTTTCCATAGTATCCAAAGGTGGTTTTGAAGCCAGTAGACACAAGTTCTTTACCTTCCTGTATGTCTTTATCAACAGTACCAGGAATCTAGCATTGCAAAAAAATCCTATTTTCCTTAAGAACACAAGGACAAAAATGAACACTTCCCAAGGAGAAGCTGTGCTAGTTTCTTTTTCTGGAAACACCTCTAGAACGTGCTGGAAAAAAGTATTAAACACGTATGTAGTAATGCTGACAGCAGTAAAATTAACCATACCGTAGCTACTTTTGGGTATTCTAACCTTGAGGAAACAATTTGGCTCTTTTGATTATAGGTTTTCATAAGTAATATGTAGGTATCAGCCACACATATATCAGATGGCTCAGTACTCAGGGATAAATACTGTAGAGCAGAATAGGCTTTACTGATACAGAAGCAGGTGAACATTACAGTGACAAGCTCTAAGTGGTAATTAGATGACCCCTTCCTGGAGCTTCAACTATTTTTGTCTCTGAAACCCATTAAGATTCATGATTTTTTGAAGGATGAACAAGTGAAGGAAAAACTTTGTCTCATTTTTCTGTAAGACCACCGAGTGCTCTTTATTCCTTTTCCATTTGATTTTTTTGCCAGATCATAAAGAACAGTACTTTTGCAACAAAACCAGGAGGAATTAGGGGTCTATTTGCAATGACAAATGCTAAGGTTTTTTTGTCCTGATTATCTCAGAATGTAGGACTCTGGAAAAACAATTTTACCTGAAGCAACTGGTTTGCCTACATTCTCTTTGAGAACTACTTATAAGATGACATATTTCTCATTAATATGCTGCTTTATGAGGTACAATAAGCAGGAGACATACTAGCGTAAGAGGTTAGTTTTAAAGCATAGGGACTTATTTTAGTCATAGTGACAGATCACACAGCAGAAGTAACTGACAAAAAAAATTGTTCAGTAATGCAGTAATGTGGAAAACAGAAAATATTATTAAAATCAAGTACTATATCTAAGCATCTACTAACCACTGGGAAACCAATTATTTATAAATAAGAACCGAGTAATACACATAGCAAAGAGCAAGAGACTGCAATTTTAATTCCAAATCAAAGACAGCAATGCACAAGACAGGTAGATGAAACACTTCTGTTATTTTTGTCTTTTGTTGGGAGACAAAGGACATCCAATATATATTTGACCTCAACAAGCACCTTCACCTTATTTCTTAAGGAAATCCTGATTCAACTCGATTGGACCTGCTACATTAATTATAAAATATACATACTTTCATATACAGGAATAAGCACTTTTTTTTTAAAAAAAGGCAATATTTACAATATTTATTCTTTCACTTTAAGCAATATTCTTACTTCTTTTGCAGAACCTGATGCTCCAGGCTCATGTTTAGTACACAGCGGTCCAGCCTTCCACGCCTCTGTATCCCCACAGTCACAAAATCCGCCTCCAGTGGAGCTATGCATCTGTAAAAAAACATGTATTTCAATCATGAAATATGCACATAAAAAGCAAGAGAAAAATAGAAATGTGCATTATTTAAATCAAATACAAGTATAAATACCTACTTACAAAATACAGGAGTCACTGCATAACCAATGGACTTACCACAACCTTTTTTTTTTTTTTTTTTTTTTTTTTTTAGATAAAAGGAGACTTATCAGAGGAGCAGGGGGGCGAAAATGTTAATTTTTTGAGCAGAAAATAAAGGAGGAAATACAGCTGCCACTGCAAAAAAGTATAAAAGTATGCAAGCCTTAAATTTAACTAGAAAGTAGGTGAAAAAGCCTATGACTGATGAATAAGAGTTTCATAAATGGCAAAATAATAATTTTTGGTTTTATTAGCAAAATTATAGCAAAGGTGCTTAATGTCTTCTTTACAAGTGACTTGGTAAAGTTTGAAAATAATATAAACAAGAATATGTGTATATTAAACAGACATTTAGTAGTACCTCTGCTTCTAACCAAAAGAAAATAAGATATAATCAGCATCTAAATACAATTCTTGCAACTTTAACTTTGCATACATTTTCAGAAAAGTACAGATTCTGACCCTTCATTTTGGCAAAAAGTTCAGACAAAACTCAGGCAAAAGTAATTATCCTTCACTTACTCTAAATCCCCAATCCTAAAATAAATTATAAAAACACTAAATGACCCAATAAAAAGACATGAGAAAATTTGTTATTTACTTGAAACTTTTTAAAATAACCTGATCTAATTAGATGTGCTTCAAGCAGAAGGTTGGACTAGGTGACCTCCTTAGGTCCCTTCCAACCTAAATTATTCTATGAATCTAAAAGAGGATAATCTTTATTCTTTAGAATGCATCTTTAAAATGGAAATGCAGCCAATCTGCTCCCATCTGACTACCTACTTCCCTGGCTGGTGTTTTGCCTGAAAAAGTTACTGAAAAACAGGGAAAGGACAACAGCTTCTCAGCCCAGCTGTGATTCCAAATTGCTCTGTAATCACTATTGTCTAATTTTCCCTGGTTTTCATCTTACCTCCCTGTAAACTGTGTGTGTACATATGGAAGTTATATTTGCATTATCTAAGTAGTTTTGTACATCTTTGAATCGATATTTACAATACCTTTTCAGATCAGTATACAGAGACTTACACAGAGGAGCAGAATATTGTATTTTAGTCCCAGTTAATTTTGAGATTGCTAGGACCTTCTTCCAAACTGTCTCTCATTGAAACATACCAATTGATTTATGACCAATTGATAATACAACTAAGACAAATCTCTTCAATGGATGTCATGTCAATGAATAGAAGGAATAGCTAAAAAAAAAAAAAAAAAAAAATCTAGCCCACTTTTTGGTCATGAAAGATAATTAAATTGAATACATAACATTTCTGTACATTTTCTTGCCTCTTGCAGCAGAGTTAGACCAGCTTTAAAAATGACACTTGTTTTCCATTTCTTTTTACCCCAAAGAGGGTAAACAAAAAAGTGGGCCTGGGAAGGAAACAGTAGGTGACAGTTTAGGCAGTGAATTAGCTAAGAATTACTTAAAAGATCCTTTTTTAATTAAAACACAGGAATCTCTCAAAGATAATATAGATTTGGCGCAAAGAGAATCAAAAGGATATCAGAAAGAGATGATCCAGTTCTAGAACAATCTCCTCAATAAAAAATGGATGCTTCACATATGTTTTAACCTTATCACAGTCTACACTAAGCACAAAGCACTTTAATGCAAATCTAAATGGAGGAACAGAGTGGAAATGTAGAGACTGCATCAGTGACATAAGCACTGAAGTAATGGCCCTTGTATACACACACTCATTCTAAATTTCCAAACAGTACTGACTAGGACTCAGGACAAGACTGTCATTTTCAGTCACAGCTTTTTGCTCTGACATACATTTCTGTGACATTGTCAAAGAGAATAACATTGTATGCATTCATAAACATTCCCTTACCCTTTGGTTCTGGAATTAGAACGTTACTGCTCTTAAAAGAGGCTTTACATAGTTAGAAACATGAGAGAGAGATAATTAACTAATTAGTAAATGCCAGATTTGGGTTTTTTTAAAATAAAAATTACTAATGGTTTATATGCAGTTTATTACATCCTCAAAAAATCTTCTCTAAAGCTACAAGTACGATTTCTTAATACAAAATTTTTCACCTTATATCGGTGGTTCTTGTGAATGCTGTTCTGGAAGCAGTCCATACAGAGTACACAAGTTGGATCAACTGCACAGTCTCTGCAACAAAAATGGTAACGGGAAAACTCTAAAACACATGGAATTTTCATGCACAAAAGAAAATCCTGCTCTGAAAAAAAAACCTGAGGTTAACAACAGATTCAAATTATAAAAACACTGGCTACTTCACGTCACAGAAAGAAGATGAAAGCCAATCTTCTTAGGCTTGAACCATGGACTCAAACATGTTATATCAGATTCTATCAGAAACATGTCTGATTTCCACTTTCAAAACCTGTTGCTAACATATTTTCATTTTTGCTAAGGATAAGGATAGCTTAAAAACTATGATGACTCTGAAGTAACTTTTATTATTGTTTCCAACAACTGTGGCCAGTTTGCTAATGAAACTTTTGATATGCTTCTGCTAGGTTATGTTTCTAACTTTTAAAACAGTTAGAAGCTAAAATCTAAAGAGAATTCCTTTACGACATGAGCCAAAGAACATATATTTTGAAATCTAATTTCAACAGTTTCAGTCATGCACTAAAATACCTGAAAATCCAGAATTACACTCATGGACAATCTATTTCCATTTTTTTCTATGCTCTACATACATATCCTTTTTTACATTGCCTTTTTTCCCTAAAACATTATCACTCTTTTTTCTTTAAATGCTGTTTCATTCTGTGCAAAATGTGGATGACAGGTGTTTAATGACAACATACCAAGTTTTTTATTTTATGCCATTGTTCAACATCTAATTCAAGCCTCCTTTACAATACAACTAAAATAGTACGGTAATTCTGGTTACAGAATGGATTTCCTTTCAAACCTTTAGATGATAATCATCAGTACAATAATTTAATACTTCACTAACATTTGTTACCATAAATCTACTGCAAGGTGATTTAAAAGAAAGAAAAATTAAGCCAGAAGTTCCTGCTAGATTTGAATGCCCAATTCAAGACATTCGGATTTTAATATTTCAGAGTATCTATTATTTGTAGCATTTTAGACGCCTAAAGCAAATAGCGTATATTTAGCTTCAGTTGCAGTAGTAAGTACAATATTTTACGTAAATACTACCACATATTTGCAAGACAGTAGCTCAAAAAAAATAACAAAAATAGACCACCTCTGAGAAATATAGCTTTGTTTTTTTGCCTGCTATCATACAAGAACTCTGCAGAGGTAGGAACAGAATTATTCCTGTTACAGCAGCACTAAACTGCCTTGACCATCCTTTTCCTTCGTACAATCTAATGTCGCATTCACTATACACTTTCCAGCAAACACCGAAGAACTTCTTCAAAGATCATTCTCCTTTCATACACAACGCTAACTTATTCCTAGAAAAAGCTGAAGAGCATGTGATTGATTAAAACCTTACAGTGTGATTCATAAACATAAAGTTTACAGCGAGCTTTCATTTTGACATTTCCTAAATTCTAAGGGCTGGATTTTTTAGCCATAATAATACACTTCATCCTTAATAATATTCTTTTGCTATTTCTGATGAAATTTTCTAGGCTTTTAAAAACAAACTGAAAGCTACAATAAACTATGACAATAGCATCATATTAATACTAATGAATTGCCAGCACAGTTGCAATCTTTACATCCACCACAAAGACCTCTGGCTTTTTAATATTAATATATTATTATTCATACTATTCTTATTAATGTGTATTAATATGAATTAATAAAATAAATTACATCAAATCAATGGGGTGCCATTTTTAATATACTCCAGGATGAGAAAGAAGGTTAAAAAGAGACAATTGGTCACACAGCTATTGCTTAAGCAAAGGACTGATGATGCTCAGAAATGCTGGATTCTGTTTCAGACTTTGAAAGGGTGAATACTGTACAGTGCACAGATTTTTATGCCTGTTCTCCCTCAATTCAGGTACAGACCCCACACTCATACCCTATCGTCCAATCTTTTTAACCAATGGCTTTCGGTACCTTTAGCATCCTTTCCATTTCCTTCCCCATTTCTCTGCCAGAGCCTGCTTTTCATATGCAATTTTCCTAACTCTGAAGTGGTTTGAAATACAAAGCAAATGCCACCGTCAGTTAAGCAAAGACCTACCATGACACAAGCAATGACTAGTTAGTAGCACCACTAATTTTATTAAACCACTTTGCTGCATTATGTCACATGGGAACATTCATGATAACATACTTTCATTCTTACCTGCAAGAGTATGTTGTCTCCCCTCCTTTGAACACCTTCCCACAGAGCTGGGAGGTTCCACTCTGTTGTAGTTTCTCCAGGAATGTATCTGGGTCTTCCCCAAACAAATAACATTCCAGGGGGTATAATATGGCTGCCTGGACCATTTCTTCTTGTTTCTCCAGCAAGGGGTCCATTTCAGCTGAGTAAATATTTGGCACATGTTTTGCCAAGCACTGTAAAAAGGTAGCTTGGAAGTTGAATCTTTCATCACACCACTGCAAGAAAAGTACACCCATGGATAAACATAAATGAATAAACAAATATAAAGAAAATAGGATTAAGCACTTCTACTGTGAATCCAGAATTCTTTTCCACATCAGAAGTCAGTTCTGCGAGCAATAAAACCCAAGAAACCATGGTTTCCCAAGAATTTCTCTGCTATTTTCCTTTCAGTAACCACCACAGTAACCTCTGTTACCCTGAAGAACCTTGAAGTCTTCTACTAAAACACTCTGAGGCAAGAGCTGGCAAGTGCTATGCCACTGTAGGGCAACCCATGCACTAATTAATTTTCAACTACATGCTTGCCAACAGGCCAGCCAATACACAAATCTTCATGTCTGTTCAGCTGCCGACAAATGGAAAGAGCAGCAGCGGGTTTCCCTGTCTTAGCTGGGAAATAAGTTTGGGATTCATTCCTTAGCCTGCTGATAGTCATAAAACGTGCAGCAACTCCATCGTTTTTGAAATTGTTACTCTTCAATAAAATATTGTTGAAACTGGTCATCAGGGTTCAATAGTTACTGAGGGAGAAAGAAGCCCAACTGATTATATGAGCTTAATGTCCTTGGGAAACCAAACTAAAATGCAATTTCATTTTTATAAGACAATTAATAAAAGTACTTGTGTTTTAACTTGAGGTTCTTGGTTTTCTTGATTTAAGTCCCTAATGTTACTTTCAACTACTCTAGTTCTCTGAACAGTTCTCTCCAATTGTTCTATTTCTGTCCTTCAAGTCTGAATATTCTTTCACATTATTCCCATTATTTAGAAATACCTTTCATTTTTCCCCATTGCAAATCAGAAAACAAGTTTACCCATCAAGGCTCCTAAAGGCAACCTCCTTTCATACACAACCTTGATTTATGCCCAAAAAATTTTTTTTTTCCTTGCAAAAATAAAAAGTAACTTCACCAATAGCTCTAAAGGGAGATTCCTCCAGGCCAGCAAGCAAAGAGTGAGCAAAGCGACTACCAAAGAGTTCGGATTGAGAGAAGGCTCAAAAAAGTAGACTATTCAAGTTTTTTAAAGGATGAAAATGCACAACATCTTATGTGAAAGGCAAAAAAAAAAAAAAATAATCTTGATTTCTGACTTAAAATGAAACCTACATCAACCAAATCAATAGATTGCCCCCCAAAATTGACAGAGATAAGGGATTAAATAATAGATCTATAAGGTTACACCTCCCTAGTTTACTACCTAGATTAGAACAGTTCTCTGAAAAAAGAAATTAATCTAGAACACATGCAGTCCGAATTGCTGCAATCCCAGTACTCAAAGCCAGATATGCAAACATCATGTAAAATTGCATGTTTTCTGAAAAACTGTATGTCTACCTAATACAGACAAGTACAAAAAAACCTGCCTACATACAAAATCCAAACAGAAGAAATAGAAATGAGATACCATGTTGAAACAGCCTAGACTAACAATAACATCCATTACCCAAAACTAATCTGTTAGAGGAGATTTGTTCCATGTTGTAGTCACTCTAAACACTTGCTTTATGGCTTTAATAAGACACACTATACTTCTCATATGCTTAGTTTTAACTTGAGGCTTCTACTGATATTTTGGCCATCAATCTTCCTTAGCATTACCCTTAGGTAGTCAATTACTTCATTTATCATGGTGATCCATGAATTCAAAGTTATGGAAGAAAATGCATGGCAGACGCTGATGGAAAAGAGAAGCCATGGATAACGTGGTCAAGTGGGGGTCATATCCTCATTTTATAAGTACAGGTTGACCAGTCTAGTCAGACTTCTTGAATCGCAAAGCATTCAACACATCTTTAAATATCTGAAACTGAAGATGCGTCCATGAAATGAGGGGAACCACTTATTTAAATTCCAATTCTAACAAAAATTCTAGATCAAGAACATATTTATTACTTGAGCAGTAAGGACCACTGTGATCACCCTATCGGTCACAAAAACTTTAGCATGCACATATATGTAATGCATATGCATTCTGTATACATATACATACATGCACACAAATATATAGGTCCGTATTTATTCTCACATATTCACAGTGCTAAGGAACAAAAGGAAAAGGAAACAAATTAGCTGACTGTCCTTTTATTTTAATTAAGTTCTTCAAAATTTTCAACTACCTAGCAACAATTTTTTTAATAAAAATTATGCTTACCTGGGGCATAAAGATACCAAATTGTAAAAAGCAACTGAAAATTAAATCCAAATTTATCAAATACTTGCATAACAACACTTAAAAAAGAAAAATATCACACTTAGCTGGGGGTTCTCAGAAAGATATCAAATTGTAAAAGGTAACTGAAAAACTGAATTCCTTGGTCACATATGTCTATTTTTTATATGTTTGATTTAAGATGAGTGGAAGAAAATTATTCCTATCATAGTTAAACTCCATAATTCAACGTTCATCCTTAAGCATGTTTCCTCCCGTAACTTGTTTTTAGCTTTTGTTTTAACTTACCTATACTGCACTATGGCTTTAGCAAGTTCCCCTCCCAATTTGGCTACTGTATTTGTTTAAAGGGGGGGGTGGGGGGGCAGGATGTGACCCCTTGGCATGCTCTCTTTCCAAAGCACAAGAGAATCCCAGCCTGTAGCTCTTCTGTCTTAATAAGTTGTGTTCCCAAGAGATGGTGTAAGTTTAGCTTCTGTGTTGTTGGAACAGAGCACATCATAGCTTCACACAGGGCTGAGCTTTCCTGAAAATCTGCCAGAAGCATAGAATGGGTTCTCACACAATCTAACTCACAAGCATTTCAAGCATTCCTGTGCAAAGCTTTTAATTCTATTTAAATGTTGTCCAGAGAAGGGAGGATAGGAAGTAGGGAAGGAGAGGGAAGAAGGGAAGACAGAGAACTCTCTTAAGCAGGCTGGCTGCCTTCTGGTAAACACACTAAATTATACCCTCAACCTATACATAACCCAGGAAATACCCATTATATTCACAAGAGAAACAAGAATATTCTTTTTCTTATTTCTAAAAGCTGCACGAGGCTAAACTTCAAACCTATCCCATACCCTCTGTGTCTCCCAGGAGAAGTAATTTATTCCTTGTGTCAAAATCTGTTTAGTGTACTATATTCAACTGTATAAAATTATACACAAAACCATCAAAAACACAGAAGCTGCCAAATAAAGCACACTCCTAAGTTAAGATTGACTGTCCAATGCTAGCTTGGTCCCCTTGTGCACACATACTGAAATTCAGATTTGAATACTTTGATCAACGCTTTGAGTAGTCCCACCTTCCTTCTGCTCGCTCATTCCTTTACCTGAGCACGTACCTGTCAAGTGCTCAGTTGCTACAAAAACCATATAAATTAATAAACAGTTAGTTTTTCTTTATTGACCGTATACTGGCCAGTGAAGAGGAAATAAAAATACTGTATCATCATCAATTAAGTTCTAACCATCCTACACACAGGATGAGCTGGGAGTCTAGAAAAGCCTAAGACCTGTGCAAGACAGCTGCAAGCAGAGATGGGGCTTGCACTGCAGCTTTCTGCCCAGCACTGGCACAGGCTGCCCTGAGGGGTTGTGCAGTTGCCATTCTTGGACATATTCAAAAGCCAGCTGGACATGTTCCTGGGCAACCTGTTCAAGGTGACCCTGCTTTAGCAGGGAGTTCGGACAGGATGACCTCCAGAGGTCCCTTCTAACCTCAACCATTCTGTAATTCAAATGCCTTCACCAGGAGAAATCTTATTTCTTTCTCAATCTCTATTAATCTTCCAATTTCTGCTACAAGGAAGCCCTACAGAAAAGTTATTTTCCAAATTTTACTCAAGAATAAATTTGAAATAGTGTACTGAAAGAGGCAGAGGTCATGAGATAATGCAATAAGGGTAAAAAAACATTATCATGTAACTAAAATACCACTATCGGTCAGCTCTCCACAGCCCTGCAGCACTCACACCCTCCTCACCGGGGCCCACTGTCTGTAACTACCAGAGGAAAACCCAGAGGAAGCAGGCCTGAATACACTCCACTCCCATTGACACTGTTCCACTGTCCACTGTTTTTGGGCTGCAAAGGGAAAATTACTGAATTTAGAAAAAAAATCACCTCCATGTACATTTGGCGTAAATTAAGGCTTCACCTCAAATTTTAATTATGAAATTCCTCAGCTTTTAAATATCTATTAGCAACCTTAGTAAAGTTCTTTTGATGGGCTTTTTGGTCATTTTCTCGTTTTTATTAAAAGTTAGCTGAAGAAACAGCCATGCCATCACATGGACCATACGGACATACGCATGGCCCAGAAATAAAACCACCACAAACAGTGACCAGTACAAGCTAAGGGAGTAATCACGGCAGCAGCACACCACCACCTTTCCTGCGGAGACAGTAACATCCACACCATGCTGGTGGGCATTCCCAGGTACTGAAAACAGCAGGCAAAGGTGACACTCGGGAACCTGACACTAGTGAAGAGCGTGCGCCAAAGACATGCGTTGTCTCCCATCTCTTCTTTTATACTTTATACCTCTAACCTTCTCCAGCCCCATCTCTTTTCCTCCTTTAATCACGCTCTCCTGTCACATTCTCCTTTTTTAAGATTACAATCGTTCTCAAACTGCATGAAAAAGGGAGACGAAGAGAACCAGGAGGAGTTGCAAAGCTATGTTTCTCAAGCATAAGCAGTTTTGTCAAAAGAGCAGAAACAGCAACGATTTTGTCCACGACATTTGATTTGTTCTGTATAACAAAAGCAGTAATCTGTAGCCTTTAATGGCTCTTCAGAAGAATATGACTACAGAAGCAGTACCTCAGAATACCACTTGAGAAAGAATCGTTAGGAGATAATCTCTTATCTTCCATGGAAACACGTCCTCCTCTGTGGGATCAGACTACTAATATTTCTTCCCATGTGTAAGCATACAGAGATCTTCCCAGAAGTCAATTCCAACCAAACACGCCGATTTCTCCTACATCTAAAAGGA